GTAGTAGTAGTAGAGAGAGAGAGAGAGAGAGAGAGAGAGAAACAAGATGCCACAGTGTTTGGTTGTGTATAGTGTCTTAGTTTTTCACAAAGCTTTTTCGGTTCATCTTAAAATCTGTAACCAACTAATCTTTAGAACCTTCATCTGCTAGTAGTATGAACGGTCTCCCAGGACAAAAAGCATTTGTTACACTTTTGTGTAAAATGTTTGAACAAAGCATAACATGCAGGATATTAGCACTTTTTTAAAAGGCAAAACTATAATTAGATTTAATCAAGTCCTAATTAATTAATATAGCTAGTCATTTCAACTACTTTTTTAATTATAGGACCTATGTTCATGTTTGTTATTAGTACAGGGGCATGACAGCATTGCTGAGAATTTAGTTTATTTTTCATTTCCGTTCAAAATTATGTTAGCTTGTGATCTCTCATAGTCCAAAATAATCACACATCATCTCCCTCAGTTTTCTTATTGCTTGCTTTTATTAGTAACAAACAGACTTGGTCATATCTGTATTTTCTCCTGCCAATTTTTGAATAATTTGAGGGAGAATTGTAAAGATTCAAAACTTGCTACTTCCAATATTCTAGAGAGAGAATCTGTGACATCCATTAAAAATAATGTATTTAAAAATATCTACTTTCTGTACTTTTAAAAGATTAATCTAATTTCAAAACATAAAATTACTTCAATGCTTTAAATATATCTGTATTAAACTTTTACTTACTCAAAATTGACCTTGTGGAACGATTAAAGTGGGGACATTTGCCAGGGCAGTTAGGCTTTGATAATATACACCATCAGTGAAATATGCATTTGTTCTAATTGTAATTGCTACTGTGTATATAATTGTATTGGTTCATTTTTTACATAATCTGTAATCCATTCATTATCTGTAAATCCTAATCAGTGGTTGCTTCAGGTATCTGTTTATATAAGTTTATTTCTGAAAGCTTGTGTAAAAACTAAATAGAATGATTTATTAAAATAACTTGTCTATTCCTAGAAAGTTCCTCATCTTGAAAAAAATTAACATGGACTGACTGCATTGTAAGTGCTCGGTGCATTTTTTAAAATGTATTTTTATTTTAACAGTGGAAAGAAGCATGCTGGATTTCCCGCAGCATGTCTCGTCCAACAAAGATGTGCGCTCAGCAAGCACAGAAGCTGACAAAAGACTTTCTTATTTTGATGTGGAGATGAGCATGAGAGAAGATGTATTTCAGAGGATTGTTTATTTGCAGGTAAATGACAATGAAGATAACTAAAAATAACCTGTAGAGGAATATGTAAGGTGCCAGGAGTGAAACTTTTTTTTCCAATAAATTAGTACATGCTGTGCTTTTCAATATCCCCATCACTTCGTTAATCTCAATCACTGTTAAATCCACTATCAACTCAATAGAGCTGTAGTGTATGTATTACATGAGGGGCCTCATTTAAATTCTCTTGCTTCAAAAAGCTAAGGATTTTGCTTAAAGAAAACCTTTACCAGATACCTGGGGGAAAAGGAGCATTCTCTCACATTGATATTTGGCTGCCAGATACGCTTTTGTGCACACTCGTTCACTGTTTCTTACTTCATTGGAGTTAGGAATGACTACTTTTTTTTTATTGTTTAAATTATTCTAGAAGTCAGTAATGCTGGTCTAGATGGACCTTTGGTCTGACCCGGTACGGCCGTTCTTATGTTCATATTTATGGGCATTTGTAGCAGTCACGTGTGAAAACCAAATATAAATATCTACAATAATTACTGTCGGTCAACAGAATTATTTCATATTCACCTTGGTATTCTTTCTATTTATTTTCCCTTTGTGACGATATTTGGCATTTACATCTATTTCAGAATACTTTAGTGTTGCTAATTTCTTTTTGTTAATCCTTTAAATTAGTGTGAGGGTTTTCCCCCTTCAGTTAAACAGTACAAGAATATGCAGATATTTATTAATCATCTATTTAACACTGATATGTGACCTGGGCTAAGATCTCAGATCTGAATACTCCTAAAATTCACAATGTCTGGGAGAAGAACATTTTTGGTGGAGGACATGAGGCTGTGTAATTTGCTTCCACCAAGACCAGGCTGAATCTTGCCACTTCCAGATTATGATGCACGACTCCTCTGCTCTTGCAGGTTGTTGCCTCAACTGCACCTGGAGAATGACTTTTCCAAGTGAGTTTCTAAAGGAAGAGGAGAGACTGAATTAAAACCATTGAAAACATTGAAGCCATCTTAATAATCCAGCCTAGTTTATTTCAATGTAGTATTTCTATCAAATTAGGATTTCCATGGAATTTTCAGGGCTAAAGCATGGATTCTTAATTTAAACATCATGAGCCTGCTTAGGGCCAGGTTAACAGTACAGTGGAAACAGGGCCCCTGAGAATCTCATATTATTTATTTTCGTAGTATCCCACGAAAAGTTGGATGTTATAATTTAACATCTAGGACAGGGGTTGGCAACCTTTCAGAAGTGGTGTGCCGAGTCTTCATTTATTCACACTAATTTAAGGTTTTGCGTGCCAGTAATACATTTTAACATTTTTAAAAGGTCTCTTTCTATAACTCTATAATATATAACTAAACTATTGTTGTCTGTAAAGTAAATAAGGTTTTTAAAATGTTCAAGAAGCTTCACTTAAAATTAAATTAAAATGCAGAGCTCCCGGACCGGTGGCCAGGACCTGGGCAGTGTGAGTGCCACTGAAAATCCGCTCACGTGCCGCCTTCGGCCCGCCTGCCATAGGTTGCCTACCCCTGATCTAGGATCTCCTAGATCTCTCTCTGACCCCAGGCCCATTTTTACTCCCTTAATGCAGGCCTGAGTCTGCTAAAGTTATTTATCGTGCTTATGTTACTTCCTAAATCACGCTTATACATCCTTTTCCACCAATATTTTTTGGAAATGGGTTTTTTTTTATGTCTAATCAAATAAAAAAGCTTTTTCCAAATATTAAGGAAAGAATTCTATCCTAAGTTTATGTGGTAGATGTATATTCCAGATTTCCTTCTATAGGAAATTTTTACTCCAGTGATTTAAACCCTTGAATATAGGTGTTTATAATAGATTCTTAATTGTAATGTGTATGATGAAGCGATAATATTAAGCCTACTCATTCCTACCAACTGCACATACTGGCTAGCAGGGGCATGCTTAAGAATGTTATCAAACCTCCCCACCCACACATCCTTAGAAAACGCAGCCTGGTTTAAACAGTTGCTACTACCCTAGTTTCCAATATTCCACATAGTCTCCTTTTTTTAGTTCTCCTTAAAGACTTGTTCACACAATACATTGAATATTATGGTTGTTCAAAACTGAAATTAAAAATTATATTATGTAAATATCAGCAAAGTGACATTCAAAAAGCAATTATCCTTAATTCTGAAGAACTCAGAATAATCATGTAAGGTAAAGTACTCAAATTTAGAACCTCTGTCACAAATCTTGTACCTCAGAGAAACATTGGGTGAGGTGAAATATCATTAATAATTAGAAGTTTAAAATTCACACCATAACACATTAAGTCCATGATTGCTGTAAAATCTTACACCATTGCTTATCTTTAAACACATGACTAGCCTACTTAAAGTGAAAGGGACTATTTATGTTCATGAAATTAAGCCTGTGCACAAATGTTTGCAGGATGGAGCATTAGACAGCTTCAAGGCAGCTATAGTGATATTTCGGTTTAAAAGTGTGTTTTAAGAGGTGGTTGTTAGGGTGAAAGTGAGTTAAGAAAAAAGTCCCACATGGGGCCTAACAAATTCAATTTGGAATTCTGTAACTTTTGTCCTTAATTTTAATTGTAGTAATAGAACTTTACACATTGGAATACTCCTGTTTTTTCTACTCGTCATCTTCCATTTAATATAATTTCAGCAAATATGTGATCTTGGACATCTAAAGCCTGAAGCTAAGCGATACTTAGAAAAGTCAATTCAAATGGGGAAAAGGAATGGACTCCATCTTCCCAAAGAAGTCCAGAATGTGAGTATGGGTTTCCTATATTTATAATATGAAGAAAGTATGGTTTCACTGCTATGAAGAATTTCCTAAGTGTATATTTTTGCTTATGTGCTCAGGTCTCAGTTAAGTGCTGCTTTGAGGCCATCCTTACTCTTAGAGACTGTAATGATGATAATTTGTACAAGACAAAGAAATAAAAATAAAAGATTTTAAAATAAGCTCAAGATTTTTGAGAGCAGGTAATGATTTTAAATTCCTGAATTTTTGAGTAACTAACTTGAGACAACTTAAAAGGAGCCTTATTATCAGAAAGTAGAAGGCAGCGCTCCCTAAAAATCAGGCCTCTTTAGGACATCCAAAATTGAGCACCCAAAAATTGAAAAGCTCTGTGTAAGCTTGAAAGCTTGTCTCTTTTACCAACAGAAGTTGGCCCAATCAAAGATATTACCTCACCCATCTTGTCACGCTATTTAACAGCACAGACTTGTGAACCTGAAGTGACCCTCTGTCTTTCCCTGGTAATTGTTCCCAGTGCAAACCCTTCAATTGACAGGAGCTTAAATCTCGGTTATGCATATTTATATTATGTTAAGGTTCCTGATGCCTCTAGAAGATCATTAGAAACTATATGTAAGAAGACTGTTGGTGGCTCAGAGTGGAGTAAAATCTTGACTATTATTAAAATCTCACCAGCAGCAGAAACAAATGAATCACAATGTATACAAACTATATGTATGTAAATTTGGTAGTAAGGAGCCAGAACACCTCAGAAGTCAGCCTGATATGTCAAAAATATTTTGCTCATCCAATTTCTTGTGTTTAAGAAAAGATTTTGGAATGCTGTTCTCTTTCATAGATGTTATTTTCTTTATGCCATATATTTAAAGGTCCCAAACTAGTCTAGGAGCGATTTAATTTTTCATCAGCTTGTTGACACACCTTTGTTGTCTCTCTGCTCCTTTTGGAGCCATCTACTGATTATCTTTAGGACAGCAATTCCCATTGAAATACAACAGCAAATTTTATTTAAAATTAAAGTTAGACTTTTCAAATGAGAGAGAGAGAGGAACTAAACGTTAATACATAAAACTACTTTAGAGCATTATTGACATCAGTGGTTCTCAACCTGTGGTCCTGGAACCACTGGAAGTCCACGGACTATGTCTAAGGAACCCACAAAAGACTTTGACTGAAAACTGACTGAACAGAATTCAGCTATATATACAGACAATAGATTTCCAAAGGGGTCCACACCTCCATTAGAAATTTCCAAAAGGGGCCGCACATCCATTCAAAACTTTTTAGGAGTCCACAAATGAAAAAAAGGTTGAGAACCACTGATTTACATGACCAATCCCTTGTGAGTTAAGAAGATATACTTCTAACATGTAAGTTTGGGGTAAAAGAAAATCTTAGAGAAAGTTAAATTCTTTGTACATGTAGGGCAGCAATAGGTAGTTACAATTTTGGTTTGTGATGGTCAGTTCAATTTATATTCAATTTAGGAAATAAAGACCATGAAGAAAAAATTGAGTGAGCTGTGTATAGACTTCAACAAAAACCTCAATGAGGAAAACACATTTCTTATGTTTTCTAAGGATGAACTTCGTGAGTATTGTATTTCTCTTTCTTTAGAACTGCAGTTAAATTTCAGGAATCCTTTCTGTGCAGTTCTTAGGTAAGGTTTAATTGTCATACAGTATCTAGGAAATGAAATTGTAACACTGTTACAGCCTGTACTGGCTTCCTATCCTTCTCCAGATCCAACTCAGGATTGCCTTTGTGTAATTAAAAATTCTTAATGGACTTGCTCCACCTAATCTCTCACGTCTTGTGTTACTTATTACCCTGCCAGCCCACTCTACTCTTCCCATCTTTGCTTTTCTCTGTCCTCTCCCCTCACATCTCCACCATTGGGCTTCACACTCCATTTGTAGTGTTCCATCTATCTAAAACACTTTTCTGCTGTTCAGGAAGTTAAGCTACTTAAATATTACTTTAAAGCCTTCATTTTCGGTTTATTGTATTATTCACTGTCTCTCTAAAGGATTTGGTGATCCCGGGTCTGGAGGTCACTCTGTCAAATGTATTTTATGAGTTAAATAAAATTAGAGATTTTTAAAACTATAATCTGTTTTTAAATGGGATTATCTTGTTAAATATATTTCTGCTTCTTATAAGTGAGGTGTTCATAATTTTAATATTGTTTGATTTGATTTAAAAAAGTCACTAACAATTAACCGTAACATGTAGGGTTGTATTTCGTAGAGGAGTTTTTAAACTACAATCTGGAGGAAAGCCGAGAGGTGCATAAAGTAAAAATCATAATGAATTAAATAGTAATATAAAATCTCTCTGGATAAAAATTCCATGCTTGAATAACAAGACGATAGCAGTAGGAATATACTACCGACCACCTGGCCAGGATGGTGAAGGTGATTGTGAAATGGCCTAGGAGATTAGAGGGGCTACAAAAACAAAAAACGAATAATGAAGGAGGATTTCAACCATCACCATATTTATTGGATACATGTCACCTCAGGATGGGATGCAGAGATAAAATTTCTAGGCACCATTAATGGCTGCTTCTTGAAGCAGCTAGTCCTGGAACCCACAAGGGGAGAGGCAATTTTTGATATAGTCCAAAGTGGGGCACAGAATCTGGTCCAAGATGTGAATACTACTGAACCACTCAGTAATAAACTATAATTAAATTTAACACCCCTATAGGGGGGGTAAAAATACCAAAGAAGCTCCCCACAGTAGTATTTCCTTTCAAAAAGGTGAACCACACAAAAACGAGGAAGCTGCTTAAATGGAAATTGAAAGGAACACAAATAAGAGTGGAATACAGACAAGCTGCATGGAAACTAATTTAAAACAGCATAATGGGGGTCAAACTAAATGTATATCCCAAATTAAAAAAAAAAAACCAGTAGGAGGACCAGAAAAATGCCACTGTTTCTAAACAGCAGAATGTAAATGGACGTTAAAAGCATACTTTAAAAATTGAAAGTCAAACTGTACTGAGGAAAATTTAAAGGAGCATAAACTCTTTCAAGTGAAGTGTAAAAGTATAATTAGGCAGGCCAAAAAAGAATTTGAAGAACAACTTGCAAAAGACACAAAAATTAACAGCAAAACTTCTTTTTAAGTACATCGGAAGCAAGAAGCCTGACAGTGACTGGGGCCACTGAACAATCAAGGTGCTAACAGGGCACTCAAGAAGACAGGGCAATTTCAGAGAATCTAAATGAATTCTTTTTATTTGTCTTCACTGCAGAGAATGTGAGGAAGATTCCCACATATGAGCCATTCTTTTTAGGTGACAAATCTGAGGACCTATTCCAGATTGAGGTGTCAGTAGAGGAGGTTTTGGAATAAATTGATAATTTAAACAGTAATAAGTCACCAGGACCAGATGGTATTCACCTAAGAGTTCTGAAGGAACTTAAATATGAAATTGCAGATCAACTAATTATGGTATGTAGCCTATCACTTAAATCAGTCTCTGTACCAGATGACTGGAGGATAGTTAATGTAAAACATGGATTTTTTTTTCTTTTTTAAGAAGGCTCCAGAGGCAATCCTGGCAATTACAGGCCGGTAACCCTAACTTCAATACCAAGCAAACTGATTGAAACTATAGTCATGAACAGAATTATCAGACACACAGACAAACATGTTATGTTGTAGAAGAGTCAGCATGGCTTTTGTAAAGGGAAATCATGCCTCACCAATCTCTTAACATTTTCTGAGGGTGTCAACCAGCATGAGGACAAGGGTAGTCCAGTTGTTACAGTGCGCTTGGACTTTCAGAAAGCCTTTGACAAGGTCCCACACCAAAGGCTCTTAAGCAAAGTAAGAAGCCAGGGGATAAGGAGGGTCCTCTCATGGATTGGTAACTGGTTAAAAGTTAGGAAACAAAGGGTAGGAATAAATGGTCAGTTTTCACAATGGAAAGTGGTAAACAGTGGGGTCCCCCAAGGATATATATTGGCTCCAGTGCTGTTCATAAATGATCTGCAAAAACAGGTGAACAGTAAGGTGGCAGAGTTTACAGACAACACAAAATTAAGCAAGATAGTCCAAAGCTGACTGTGAAGAATTACAAATCACAAAACTGGGCAACAAAATGGCAGATTAAATTCACTGTTGATAAGTACAAAGTAATACACATTGGAAAACATAATCCCAACTATTTATACAAAATGATGGGATCTAAATTAGTTGTTACCACTCAAGAAAGAGATCTTGGAATCATTGTGGATAGTTCATCTGCTCAATGTGCAGCAGCAGTCCAAAAAGCTAACCATGTTAGGAACCATTAGGAAAAGAATAGATAATAAAACAGAAATACCATAATGCCACTATATAAATCCATGGTGTGCACACACCTTGATTACTGTATGCAGTTCTGGTCACCCCATCTCAAAAAAGATGTATAAAAATTTGGAAAAGGTACAGAGAAACACAACAAAAATGATTAGGGGTCTGGAACAGCTTCCAGATGAGTAGAGATTAAAAAGACTGGGACTGCTGAACGTATTAAAGAGACGACTAAGCAGGGGATATTTGCTTCAGGTAAATACTCACCAGCAACTACACCCCACACAACAAAAACACTAACCCAGGAACTAAACCCTGCAACAAACCCCGGTGCCAACTCTGTCCACATATCTGTTCAAAGGACACCATCATAGGACCTAACCATATCAGCCACACCATCAGGGTCCCATTCACCTGCACATCTACCAATGTGATATATGCCATCATGTGCCAGCAGTTCCCCTCTGCCATGTACATTGGCCAAATCAGACAGTCTCTACACAAAAGAATAAAGAATCAAGAATAAAGCATCAAGAATTAGAACATTCAAAAACCAATAGGAGAACACTTCAATCTCCCTAGACACTCAATAACAGACTTAAAAGTGGAAATTCTTCAACAACAAAAACTTCAAAAACAGACTCCAACAAGAAACTGCAGAACTGGAATTAATTTGCAAACTGGACACCATCAAATGAGGCCTGAATAAAGACTGGGAGTGGATGGGTTACTACAAAAACTAATTTTCCCCCTGCTGATACTTGCACCTTCTTGTCAACAGTTTGAAATGGGCCACCTTGATTACATTGAACTCATTAGCACTACAAAAGTGATTTTTCCTCCCTTCTTGTCAACTGTTGAGAATAGTCCACTTCCACTTTAATTGAATTGGCTCGTTAGCACTGACTCCCCCTCCCCCCACTTGGTACGGCAACTCCCATCTTTTCATATGCTGTGTATTTATACGTCGCTACTGTATTTTCCACTCCATGCATCTGATGAAATGGGTTTTAGCCCAGGAAAGCTTATGCTCAAATAAATGTGTTAGTCTCTAAGGTGCCACAAGGGCTCCTCGTTGTTTTTGTTGATACAGACTAACATGGCTACCACTCTGAAACCTGTCAATGAAATTAATAGACAGCAAGTTTAAAACAAACTTAAGGAATGCGTCTTTACACAATGCACAGTCAACCTGTGGAACTTGTTGCCTGGGGATGTTGTGAAGGCCAAAAGTATAACTGTTCAAAAAAAAAAAAATTAGATAAGTTAATGGAGGATAAGTCCATCAATGGCTATTAACCAAGATGGTCAGGGATGCAACCAGATACTTGGGGTGTCTGTAAACCTCTGACTTCCAGAAGCTGGGACTGGATGACAGGGAATGGATCACTTGATAAATTGCCCTGTTCTGTTCATTCCCTCTAAGCAAATGGCACTGGCCATTTTCAGAAGACAGGGGTCTGCACTATATGGACCGTTGTTCTTATGTTTCTTATATTAAACTGGTCTGCAGTAAAACAAATGAATTACTGTTTTATGCACTAAACATTGTTCTGATATTTTTAAAAAAGAATTTATACTTGAAAAATCCTTTTTTGAATGTTGTTAATTTATATTCTACAGAAGCCCTTCCTGATGACTTTATTAATAGTTTAGAGAAGACTGAAAAGAACAAGTATAAAGTTACCTTAAAGTATCCCGACTATTTTTCTGTCATGAAAAAGTGCTGCGTTCCAGAAACAAGAAGAAAAATGGAAACTGCCTTTAACACAAGATGCAAGGAGGTACATCAGATATTTAATTTATGAAATTCTGAGTATGGCTAGTAATGGTAGTAGATAAAAAATGTATTAATCAGCTGGTACTTTAGAATTTCTAATAATGAAATTCAATACAATTAATAAAAGAAGGCCATAACTGCCTATTTGACTGTAGATCATTTTTATACAAAAATCAGTCCAGGTCTGTCTGCTGCTTCCATTCACTCACTGTCTGAAGAATCTTCTTGGACAGCATTGTTAAGAATTTATTTTAAGCAGTAAATTCTACCTAGTTAGATTTTACTACCTTTTCCCCTTTCCAAACAACTGTACGTTTAAGTAAACACACACAATTACTGTGCATATTGCAAAGTCTGTAAAACCTGTCACAAGGTTTTAAAATAAATAGTGTACATATCTAAATGAACTGATCTCCCGGCTACTTAGTTTATCCAAGTACTTGCCCACAAAATATACCCTAATAAAGTCACGTTAATCTTAGTGATCCATAGAGATTTTTGTTTTTTATAAATATGCCAGGATCTCCAACAAAAAGATATTTCTGTAACTAATCTTTCTAAATGTTAGTTTTAATCGGTTAATGACAAATTATTGAGGTAAAAGTGCAGAAAATGTATGGCAAATCATCCCATTTTTATTTTATACTTCCATAATAAATTCTTACCTAGTGTTCTGGAAAACATGGCTAGGAGATTTGTTTACCAATAGGATCAAATTACTTCTTTAAAGTGCTGTTTGGTAGCTAGAAATATTAGCATAACATGCAATATTAATAAACCACCTCACAAGTAAACTGCTTTTTCTTTCTCTATTCCAGTAAGCTAATTCATCTTTTCCATACAGTCATGATTTAGTACCTGATTAGATTTATTTCTCTCTATTATGATTTGATTTTGATTAAAATATCTCGGTTTGCTTTCATGCAAATCTCTCCTTTTTGAAGCCAGCAGGCTTGTAATTGTTTTCCACTTTGCTCTCATGATAAACATGAAACCATAGAAGATTGTGCTTCAGTCCTTTCAGTATTCCTGATCTTGTAAAAGGAACCACACTTAAAAAAGGAGTGTTATGTGGCAGTACGTAGTATAGTAGCATAGTGTATCTACTCTGTGTACTTGAATATATCTTTTATTAACACAAATATGAGCTATTGTAGATGTTTTAAGGAAAGAATCAGACTGTGTTGCTGCCAATATTCATCAGTACTCAAGCCTTGACACAACATTATATTTACAGGAAAAAATTGTGGTAGAGAAGATCTTATTTTCTAGAACAAATTGTCATATATTCGCAGTTGAGGTCCAGCCCATCGACATAATTTTAGTGTTAGGCACTGTCCTGCTAGAGATAGAGGCTTGACGCTAGCACTCACTACTGGTCTGTGGAATGAGGATCCTTAAGTGGGTTCCTATTGGGAGTCCTAAAGATCCAGGTTCAAAGTCAAGTCTCTCACTAAGACTCGTTATATTGCTCTGGCAGTGTAAATGGGCAGTAAAGTGGACAATGAATTCATGCTCACTTTATGGTCCCTTGACCCTAGTAGAACAGTGTAAAAAGCCCTTCGTGTAAATAGGAATCAGGCTCTAAGACTTGGCATTGAACCTGGATCTAGACCTCAGTTTCTCATTCCACAGACAAGTAGTGAGTGGGAATGCTAGGAGGCACTTTATACTGCTCTACAGTGACCTCTCTTGCCAATTAAAGGACAGAAGTAGTGAGCTCCAGAGTGAGTCCAGCTAAATACGCTGTGGCTGAGAAGATGGGTGTAGCATGGGCAATGTGAATAGGTGGGGGGAAAAATGAAAAACAGGGATTCTCCTGTTGACTGAGCTGCAGGAGATAGTTTAGTGGTCAAAACATTAGATTTGTATGGTCTAGACACCCTGGCACTACAGGTTCAAACTTGTCAGCATTGATTTTGCCTTTCATACTTCCAGGTTACACATAGTTTATTCTTTTGATTCTTTCAGATGGGACTTTAACACCCCATGTTCTCTCTGTGAGGACATTGAAGTCTTGATGGTGATATTAATAGAAGTAGGGGTTTGCCTATGTGTCCTTAATTGTCATTCAGGCATTTAATTAGAGAACAATTGCCTAACTGAGCTTTTGTACTTGGTACACTGGCAAATGTGAAAAGTACAAGATAAGATAAAACAGCACTAAGAATTGAACACTACATATCTAGCATATTTAAAGGGATACACATTCAAGGCTGATGGGGCCCATAGTTGAACTTACCCTAAAAATAGCTTTTTAAAAGTATTTCCTTCTGATCCTAAGACATCTCACTTATCCAAATTGGGAGCTACAATGTAGAGACATTCTTGATTTCACCATTTTTAACAAATGCTGGGCATGGCTTTGTTTGCATTTGGAATGCACACCACAACTATATTTTTATAAATTTTACTCAACTTCTAATTGACCAAAAACCCCCAATAATACTCTTCCTAGCACTCAGATTTGTAACCTTAAAAAGAAACTGTTGCTATTTGGTTTCAGTGAAATGAAATGAATGATAGTGTAGGAATGATAATTATCCTGACTGCTTAGAAAAATCAGGACTCTGACCACTTTCCATCAAATTGTAGATTCTGTGCCATCAAAAATTTCAGGAATCCTACCAAAAATACATTTTTACTTATAACATTTTTGAGTAATAATCTCAATATGTTTCATTTAAAATGTCTGCTATTCCTTATGATTTTAGTTCAAATTTTATTCAAATTATTGTTTTGATCATATGAATTTAGTTGTCTTTAATTCATCATAACCTTGCCTTCTTTTTCCTAGGAAAATACTAATATTCTTCGGCAGTTGCTTCCCTTAAGGGCAAAAGTAGCAGAACTTCTTGGGTACAATACACATGCCAACTTTGTACTGGAGGTGAACACTGCAAAGAGCATGGATAATGTAACAACCTTTTTAGGTTTGTTTTTATTTGTGTGTTATATTTTATATTTAGATCTGCAACATGTCTCTGTACCCCAGGGAAACTTAAATATGAAACTGGAGCACAGACGGTTCATTTGGAACAGGAGCTCTCTCCCCCACCCCTTTTAATATTTTTAAGAGTCTGTTCTCCAAGTATGTTAAATGTAATGGGAGTTCTGGTATGAATAGAGAGGATAAGAGAGTTCTTAGGCCATAAGAGTTTCCAGAGGAACAATTTAAAATTACTTAATGCATCAAGGGGTTTTCCTTTCTAGTAATCTATTTTGTGATCTCATTTCCCATGTCAGTGTATTCTTGCTTCAATAACTGCAGTGAAAAACTTCTATTAAACAGCTGTGTAGGAATTGCTGTCCTGAAACAAGCAACTGATCCATCTAGCTGACTGTCCTGTCCACAGCAATTGCTTTTAATCGGTGCTTTAGAGAAAGGAAAAAAAGCTCTCACGCTGTACTTGCTTCCATTATTTAGCATTTGACATGGTCCTAGTAATATTTATCTTGGCTAAGATAACTGACAGTGGTGTGTTTATTCATACAAGCAAGGCTTGTCATGGCTATCACAGTAGTCATGGATTTCATTATAATTCAAAAATATTCATAACTTTTAGCCATTTTGAGATTTTTCTATGTGCGAGCGTGGATGTGATGGTAACAGCTGAACTGATTTCACTGAGCAACTTGAAGTCTGCCAACTGAAACCCTGGGCTACATTGGAAGTTAATATAGAGCAGGAGCTCAGCATTAACATTGTAGTAATACAAAGTGCTGAACTCAGTTTCTCCAGAGATTGAGTTTTCTCCCTTCACTCAAGGCAATAAAGACTTCTAAAACAAAATACCTTGGAATTAATCTGGCAACTACTGTGTTTTAAATATTTTTTGTGTTATCACAGTACAGGCAGAATTGCAGTTATTTGGAGTAGTATGCAGAAAATAAAGGCTCTTACGGTATACAAAACAATGCCAGTTGTATGACATTTTAAAACTGTATCTTTAATTTGTCTGCTTTTTTCACTATAACCATGCCATGACCATCCCTAAAAACCACCTTGTCAAAACAGCCCTTTATCTATGCATCTAATCTTTTTTTTTACATTTTACTAATTTAAATTCTTTTCAACCTTTTGTTAGTATCCAAGTATTTTAAAAACACATCTGTTCAGAATTTTTATTTTAAATTATTAACTCCGCCAATTGAAATTTGTCATGGCTTGACTCTTCAATGAGGACAAGGGCCTTTTCACACATGAAGAAATTTGTTCTTGAAGTAATTATGTTTGAAAACTGTGAACTGCACAATACATGATTTTCTACATCCTGCAAACAGTTACACATGTGTCTTATGCACACAAGTCGTCCTATTGACTTTAATGGGGCAACTCATGTGCGTACGCTTAAGTATGTGTGTAACTGGTTGCAGAATCAAGGTCTAAGATAGTCGTGCGTGCAGCTCAAGATATACTGCATGTATAAATGGGTTTAATCAATATTCGGGTGGTTTTCTATGCACATGTATTTTAACCAAGAAGATTATATTTAAAAAAACTACAGATAAATTAGTGCAACAGTAACATTGAGATTTTGATGTACAAAAGTCAGGAAATTCAGACTTGCAACTGTAATTCTTATAGTATGACATGAATTTAGCAGCATGTTTGGTAATACAAAAATATACATATTTAACAGTGGACCTCGCTGTGGTTTTGATAGCAACATACATTTTGGGAACTGCTTGATTATTATTTTTTTTAGTGCATTTAAAATATCAAAGTATCAACTATAACTTGGAATAAACATATTTTTTCTGTATTATTCTAAATAGGCTTCTATAACTGCATGTCAGCGGCGAATGCTGTTTGGTTTCTGTTTACTTGTTTGTTTTTGTATTATCTGTTTTAAGATTGCGTGAGACACTTGAAAATTAGTCCTTGTATGTCATTGGGACTTACAATACAAGCCCATATATTAATTTTCTAAGATTGTGTCCTTTAAATCTAAAGTTTTGTAATTATTTACTGTGAAGGGAAGAATTTCATCAGTTAATAATCATATTTGCTCTATTTCTTTTGATAGTATTATAAGACATATAAGTATATGGATCTGATCTGCTGTGTTTTTTTTAACAATGTTCATATTTGAAGTTGATCATCAATAAGTCCTACAGTTTGATGAAAAAGTGTGCACTCCTTTGACACGCTTTTAATCTATCTTGTTGAGAGTAGTATGTTGTTACTATTTATTAGCAATATAAACGTACACAGTACTTCAAAGTACAATTAGAAACAGAGGTCCTTGCCCCCAAAGCTTACAATTTACATTTGCAGTCACTATTGTATTGAAATATTAGAATTTTAAAAATAATCTGATTGCAGAACTTTGACATTCTAAAAGGACTCAAGTATAAATGTCAGAGTAAGTATAGATTGTGTTTTCTGGGAGTTTCACTGATATAAAATGTTTTACTCTTTTTGATCCTTTATCTCCATAGAAAAATAATGTAAAAATCAGTGGAATTACAGGGCATAATGTCTAATGGCCTAGCAAATATGGGCTGCTATTGAGAAGATCCAGTGTAGGCAAAAAACGTGGAACTCTCCTAACTTCAGCTAATTGGCTTGAGCTGGGAGTAGAACAGAGGTTACCCTGTAAGGATCTCGGGGAAAAGTACAATGTGAATCATAATGTCACACCTCCAATGGCTGATAAAAAAACAGTTGAAGGATAGGTGCTGTAACAGTAGCTACTACTAACCATAATGAAGAAAAATCAGAATTACATGAGGTGGTATCAGAGATTTAAGGTAGATGAGTACAGTGTTAGCTAGTTACTACAGGGAATTATTTTCCAGGTAACTAGCTGGAACTCAATAACTCAGCCAAAGGTTAGGGATCTATTACAGGAGTGGGTGGGTGAGGTTCTGTGGCCTGCGGTGTGCAGGGGGTCAGACTAGAGATTATTATGATCATAGGCGCCGACTCCGTGGGTGCTCTGGGGCTCGAGTACCCACGGGGAAAAATTAGTGGGTGCTCTGCACCTACCAGCAGCCAAGCTCCCTCCCCCTCCCTCCCCCCCGCCCTGCCTCCTCCCCTGAGCGCACTGCGTCCCCGCTCCTCTGCCTACCTCCCAGCGCTTCCCGCCCAGCCACTGCCAAACAGCTGTTTGGCCGCTCCAAGTGCGGGGGGGAGCGGGAACGTGGTGCGCTCACTGGAGGAGGCTGGGAAGATGCGGGGCCGGGGCAGGGATTTGGGGAAGGAGTCAGAATAGGGGCAGGGAGGGGGCGGAGTTGGGGTGGGGACTTTGGGAAAGGGGTTGGAATGGTGGCGGGGCCTCATGGAAGGGGTGGAGTCGGGGCCAGGGATAGAGGGGGTTTGAGCACCCACCGGCGGGAGCAGAAAGTTGGTGCCTATGATTATGATGGTCCCTTCTGACCTTAAAGTCTATGAGTCTGTTTCTCTTTTGGATGTCCTTAGAAAAGAATGAAAGACGCTATGACACTTAACCCTTGCCAGTGGTGATAGTGCAAGAGTGCACATGCTCATATCTCAGACATCCCTGTAACCAAAACAGAAAGGCAAGCATTAAAGTAGTCATTAATTGAGAAAGGGAAAATTGTGGTGACTGGTATTGGATAAATACTCTTTTTTAATATTTGTATAAATCTAAATAAATAAATTAGTTCTCCAGTACTAGTAATAGTAACATAGTACAACATGGAACAGACAAGTTGACACAAAGGTAAATCTCTGGTTGCATTTTTAGATGATTTAAGTAAGAAGCTAAAACCACTGGGTGACGAGGAGAGAGAGTTTATTCTGGATTTGAAGAAAAAGGAGTGTGAAGAAAGAGGCTTTGACTATGATGGAAGAATCAATGCATGGGATTTACATTATTATATGAACAAGACAGAAGAGCTTAAATATTCCATAGATCAAGAGAAGCTGAAGGAATACTTTCCAGTTGAAGCTGTTACACAAGGCTTATTGAACATTTACCAGAAGCTGCTTGGACTTGTATTTGAGCAGGTAGAAAATGCTCATGTTTGGCATGAGAGTGTTACTCTTTATACAGTAAAAGACGATTCAACAAGAGAAGTTTTAGGTCAGTTCTACTTAGACCTCTATCCCAGGTAATTCTATAGTGTATTGCTTTATTTTAAAAGTGTTAAGCTGGAGTTAATCTTAGCTGGGGGTGGAGTTATATGAATCTGGAAGTAAACTTTTTTCTTGCCTAAATTCCAGGGTGTTTCTGGGAGGGAAGCATTTATGTGGCTACTTGTATTCTATCTGCATATATCGTCAATATCAGACACCATTCCTTTTAACATCTGTCTTTGTTGGGTATACTTATGTTCAGGTCAGAATCCCTGACCCAAACATAAGTGAGATTGCTGGCTAATACTATAGGTGATATTTATTTTTCTCTTTTGTTTGTAATGTGCCTTTCACATGGCATGTCAACATTGGTAGAGATGGATGTGTTCCTGTCTTCTGTCCATCAGGCAGGAGATGCTAATCAGGATGAAGGAATTTTTGTATCCTGCTCCACCTCTTTTTAACTCCCTGCAGGTAATCTTCCACTTGCTTTCTGGTTCATGTTGAAGGAACTGAGCAGAACAGCTGGTGCCTTTGGCTGAAACACCCTCCTGGAGCTCATTCAGCCTCAGTCTTCTGGGTAGAGGAAAGAGCAGAGAATTACTCAGGAAATTAAAACTTTACTCTGACCACAATGTGGAACTTTAGTCCCCTTTTGTGGGACCTAGGTGCACCATCTCTCCACAGGTAGCTAGTACGGCTGTCAAGCAATTAAAAAAATTAATCGCGATTCATTGCACTGTTAAACAATAATAGAATACCATTTATTTAAATATTTTGGATGTTTTCCACATGTTCAAATATATTGATTTCAATTATAACAGAATACAAAGTGTACTGTGCTCACTTTATATTTATTTTTATTACAAATATTTCCACTGTAAAAAACAAAATAAATGGTATTTTTCAATTCACCTAATATAAGTACTATAGTCCAATCTCTTTATCATGAAAGTTGGACTTACAAATGTAAAATTATGTACATAAAATAACTGCATTCAAAATTGAAACAATGTAAAATTTTAGAGCCTACAAGTCCATTCAGTCCTACTTCTTGTTCAGCCAAACGCTCAGACAAACAAGTTTGTTTACTTTTCCAGGCAGAGCCATTCCTAGGATATGGCGAATTGGGGCAGCCGTCCTGGGCCCCGTGCTTCGGGGAGTCCTGCGCTTCAGGGAGCCCCGTGGTGGCCACCCCGAAACGCCGCAGCCTAGGGACGGCTCTGTGTGCATGTTGTGCAGGGGCTGCTAGGCTGGCCCAGGGAAGGTGGGGTGAGGGTGGGGAGGCAGGTTGGCCCAGGGGCTATAGGGCCTGGCGTCGGCAGCGGGGGTCAGGCCCGCACTCACTGGCAGGAAGTGGCAGCAGCAACCCCAGCCCGCCCCGCTCCTCCCCACCGGTTCCCGGCATTTTTTGGGGTGGGGGGTGGGGGTTGTCCTGGTCCCGGTCCCTGCACCCACCCAGGGATGGCCCTGTTTGCAGAAAATAATGCCCACTTCTTGTTCACAATGTCACCTGAAAGTGGGAACAGGTTTTCGCATGGCACTGTTATAGCTGGCATCGCAAGATATTTATGTGCCAGATGCACTAAAGATTCATATGTCCCTTCATGCTTCAAGCACCCTTGAGCATGCATCCATGCTGATGACTAATTCTGTTCGATAATGATCCAAAGCAGTGCAGACCGACGCATGTTCATTTTCATCATCTGAGTCAGATGCCACCAGCAGAAGGTTCTTTTTTGATGGTTTGGGTTCTGTAGTTTCTGCATCGGAGTGTTGCTCTTTTAAGACTTCTGAAAGCATGCTCCACACCTCATCCCTCTCAGATTTTGGAAGGCACTTAAGATTCTTAAACCGTGGGTCAAGTGCTGTAGCTATCTTTAGAAATCTTACATTGGTACCTTCTTTGCATTTTGACAAATCTGCAGCGAAAGTGTTCTTAAGTGGGCAGCATATCTCCCGTAAATGTAAACAAACTTGTTTGTCTTAGTGATTGGCTGAATGAGTAATAGGACTGAGTGGACTTGTGTCTCTAAAGTTTTGCATTGTTTTGTTTTTGTGTGCAGTTATGTAACAAAAAAATCTGCAGTTGTAAGTTGCACTTTCATGATAAAGAGATTGCACTACAGTACTTGTATGAGGTGAATTGAAAAATACTATTTCTTTTCTTTTGTTTTTTACAGTGCAGATATTTGTAATAAAAAATAATATAAAGTGAGCAGTGTACACTTTGTATTCTGTGTTGTAATTGAAATCAATATATTTGAAAATGTAGAAAAACATCCAAAAATATTTAATAAATTTCTGTTGGTAGTCTATTGTTTAACAGTGCGATTAAAACTGTGATTAATTTGTTTGAGTTAATCACATGAGTTAACTGCGATTAATTGACAGCCCTAGTAGCTACTGATGGGAGCAAGGTCAAATTCCTTCTATCCCCTATCAGTGATCTGTATGTGTCTTCTCTTTGCCTCCTAAGAGGAACCTTGCTTCTATTTCTTTATCCCTGTGTCCGTTCCCAACATATTGTCTAGAGACCTCTTCTCCGCTCTAGGTGGTAGGAAGTTGCTCTGTGTCTCGCTCCAATATCTCCTTGAGGAGAAGTCTGCAAGTGCTTTAGACTGAGCAGGCAAAAATTCCCTGACTCCTTCACCAAGACTCTCCCATCCTTGGGGCAGCCATCAACACGATGCAGGGGAAAAGTCTTACCCTCTTTGGAAAGAATCTCAAAACTCAACTCTTCCTGATAGCCACATCTGTCCAGTCCAGTCTTGCTGATAATATTGGTCTTGTGCCAGGACCTGGTTCCATTGCCACAGTTTCATTCCAGAACCTTTTGGCAGTTTCTGTTGAGTCTTCCATGTTGGAGATGCTCATCCAATAGTCTTTTCTTTAGTGGATGTGTCAGTCTCACACTGAAGGTGATTCCCCATCTAGGCCCCATCTTGCCTAAATGGCTCATGTTCCTTCGGGCTTGGTCCTTGAGCAGAGCCTTCTAACGTGTCTGAGCATCTCAGGCAAGTTTTTGATCATTTTCTTGAATTCATGCATCCTTCACATAATGTGGGGCTTGGGCTTCATTCTCAGTGGTGCAAATCCTATAGTCTTTCAGCCTAAAAATCTTTCTTCCTGTCATTCTGGACTTCCTCTAGGCAGGGTTTGACAAGAACGTGTCAGGTAGGTACCCTAGAGTGCAGGCCTGTGCACTTAATGCACTTCGGTCAGATAGATGGCTTTCCAGTAGCACAGACCAACTAATCTCCAATTTGCTGAAAGTGGTCTCTTAGCGTAGGCCTCCAATTAAGTCTCCAGTGCCTCTGTGGAGACTTTCTTATTTTTAGATCCCTTTCCACCTCTGAGGTCTCTCCCTCTCTATGTGCTGGAAATTGGCTTTTTGCTGGGCAGGGAATTCTACAGTTCAGGCTACAACCTCATATGACATCATTATGCAGGTCCTCTAATCAATGTCCTTCAGTGAAGAAAGGGAAGTGAGGGCCTGGTATTATTAATGTAAAAAGCAAGGGGGAAATGACACTAACTTTTTGCATCATAAAACTGCAATAAGGAAGGGGGCACATTAATATTTTGGACTTCATGTTTAGTGACTCACTTTTTAATTATGACAATTTTTCTAACTGTATTAACTAACAGTTTAATTAAGAGACTCATTTTGTTTTAAAATCACAGTGCTAAAACAGCAAACCTGGTTCTTTATTCTTTAAATCTGCTCAAATGTTGGTAACAAAAGCTAATGCTTCACAGAATGGGATTTGTCTTTCATACTACTATAATTGTCCTGTCTCAGATTAAGTAAAATTAACTTTTAGAAGGAGCAGAGTTATCACTTTTGATTTCAATAATATATTATATAAATAAAAAAGAGGCTTGCAGATGCTGCTCTAAATATTAAAGTGAGGGGATTTAGAAGTACTTTTTCTTTGTGCTCTCAGTAGAATCCTAAGCACAGTGACCTTTATAAAGGTCATAGGACACTATCTCATTGTGGTTTTTCTAATAAAAGAAAGAGGGTCTCTTCCTCATATAAAATCATAGAGGGAAACAGCCCTCTTTACCATGTTACTTGTGGAAGATAGGCCTATTGCGTAAGGATGACTTTTGGTATATTTTCTTGCTCAGAGAAGGGAAGTATGGGCATGCAGCATGCTTTGGTCTCCAGCCTGGCTGCCTACGCTCTGATGGCAGCAGAATTATGTCTGTAGCTGCTCTGGTGACCAACTTCACAAAACCAATATCAGATCGCCCATCATTGCTGCGACACGATGAGGTGAAGACTTACTTCCATGAGTTTGGACACGTAATGCACCAGATATGTGCACAGGTAAGTAATGTTTCTATTTCATTAAAATATCTAATTCTTCCTTCATAGTCTCTCAAAGGGGTGGTGGGGGAGAGGGTAAGCCTGTTTGATGGGTGTATGGTTTCCTTAAGGTAAGTATTTGAGAGCTTCATGGTAACTTTTCACAGTTGATACTTGTTTTGAGTTTTTGTGTATAAGCCCCGCAGTGAATACAGCTTCTGGAAAATGTTCATGTTACAGCAAATCCTTTCCCCTCTGCACAGCCTGAGCAACTGGGGCTGAGCAATGAGCAGCTCCATGAGGAAGGAACCCTCCCATAGGCAACAGAGCTGCTTTGGGGCTGATGCTGCAATTGTTGCTTTTGATAGTACCTGCAATGTGTTAGGAACTGTACAGACACAAAAGAAAGCAGAGTCCTTGTCCCAAATAGTGAAAATGGCCGATGAATCCACTGTCCTCACATGCCTCCGATCCCAGTCATATTCTGCATGGTGGCATGCACATAGGGTACCCTCACAAAGCTGCGCTTCTTGGTACAGAGGGTGCATACATCACCTACTTGAGCTTTCTGAATGCTACCTTTATTCCTCCCTCAACCATGTAGCAGAATCACACCAGTCCTGCAGCAGTCAGGAGCCTCCACATCAGCAGAAAGGCTGGAATTGGCCTGGAGACTTGTCATAAAGACATAAATAAGCTGCTTAGTTTCATCTTTAGTTGAAGCATATTTAAGATGGATTCTGCCATGATGATGATAGATTTATTATTAGTCCAATTAATTTGTTTCCCTTTGTTTGAAAGGTATAGCCTTCAGTGTTTCTTCTTAAAAACTGTAAATTCTGTACCATCAGCCCACCAGTCCAGAACTCATGTGATTGCACTGTGGCCTCTTTAACCAATAGGTAGCAGCACAAATAAAATGTCAGAGGTATGCAGCATACTTGGGACTTCATTTCCTGGCTTCCAGTCCCAGGTAGAACTTTCACAGAACAAGGAACTTATAAATCTACTGGTTAAATTTGGAGTTAAACAAGTTGGATTCGGAATTCAGAGCTAACATCTAAATTTTGTACATAGCTTTTCTCTCCTGGCTTGTCTGTGAAAAATGGGAAGAATCCAGCTATTCGCTCTTGCCCCAAGATATCTAGGAAACACAGTTTCAGAGTGCAAAAATTAAGGAGCAAACCCTGCCCCTTCCTTCACAGCTACGGAGGGATTCCTGGTGACTGGAACACATGTGGATCTGCTACAGAAATGGGAGCAGGATTTGAGGGACCCAAATACGGATGTGCCTCCATGGCACAGAGTGATTTAGAAGACTCAGGAACATTTCATTTATGTTGCTAATGGATTTCCCTTCTTTCAAGCCCAGTGGCACCCCTTAGTTGAAAAATATTGTGCAGTATTTCAGGCGCCAGCATACTCCTACAAAATTGGAGGGATAGTGCTTAACAGAATAAGTGAGTCAAATGAAATCCCTGAAACAGGTTTAAATGCATTAGAACTACGGCATTATGCAGCAATTATACAAGTTAGTCCCTGAGTTACTTTTGTGATAGAACAAAATTTAGTATCATGTTACAAAGTAATTATATTGAGTAAATTAGAGTTATTTTTAGGGTTGTCAATTAATTGCAGTTAATGCATGCAATTAACACAAAACAAATTAGATTAAAAATAGTCGCAATTAATCGCAGTTTTAATCACACTTGTTAATAAAATACCAATTTAAATTTATTATAACTATTTTCGGATGTTTTATGACATTTTCAAATATATTGATTATAATTACAACACAGAATATAAAGTGTACAGTGTTCACTTAATATTTTTTTTATAACAAATATTTGCACTGTCCAGTCCTATTTCTTGTTCAGGCAGTCACTAAGACAAACAAGTTTGTTTACATTTATAGAAGATAATGTCCCCTGCTTCTTATTTACAATGTCACCTGAAAGTGAGAACAGGTGTTTGCATGGCACTGTTGTAGCCAGCGTTGCAAGGTATTTACGTGCCAGATATGCTAAACATTCATATGCCCCTTCATGCTTCGACTTGTAGGCTCTAAAGTCTACACTGTTTTGGTTTTGAGTGCAGTTATGTTTTAAAAAAAAAAAAAGGCTGTAGGATGCACTTTCATGATGAAGAGATTGCACTACAGTACTTGTATGAGGTGAATTGAAATATGCTGTTTCTTTTGTTTCTTTTTTACAGTGCAAATATTTGTAATGAAAAATAATATAAAGTGAGCATTATACACTTTGTATTCTGTGTTATTATTGAAATCAATATATTTGAAAATGTAGAAAAACATCCAAAATACTTATAATACATTTACATTGGTATTCTTTGATGGTTTAACAGTGCAATTAAAATGCAATTAATTCCAACTATTTTTTTAATCTCGCAATTAATTGCAATTTTTTAAAATCGTTTGACGGCCCCAGTTCTTGTCTGATGTCATGGGGCAATGCTGAAATGTAATTATATTGCTATAATATGTCACGTAAGAGAGAGTAAGAAAAATAGACCTGTTTCTGAGTTCCTGTGACTAAGAATCACTGCATGATATATTGTTTTGGTTAGTTTTCTCATTGCTTATAATTTAATTTTTCTTGTTCCCTCTCTTTTAAAGTTTGAGGCTATTCTAACATTGATCTTTCTTGTAATATAGCTGTTTATAATTCTGCCCTGTTTTTACATCATCACAGTTTTGGCACCTTATATAGGTTGACATTTTACTAGATATCTGATTTAATCTCATTTGTATTTTAATTTAATATAACGGAGGAATTTTTGTTGTGTTTTTGTTTGTTTGCTTGTTTTTTGTTTTTGTTAGACCGACTTTGCTAGATTTAGTGGAACTAATGTGGAAACAGACTTTGTAGAAGTTCCTTCACAAATGTTTGAGAACTGGGTATGGGAAAAAGAACCTCTACAGCAAATGTCAAAACATTATAAAGATGGGAGCCATGTTGCAGATGCTCTTCTTGAGAAACTTGCTGCCTCTAGAATGGCCAATACAGGTATCTTTTTTTTTTCTTTTACATACAAAAAGCATTCATGAAAATGTAGGAAAGACATAGGGCAATATCCTGTGTAATACAGAACAGACATGCCTTAGATAGTGGTCTCTTCTTCCTTCACTGTGTATCCACCTCCCCCATGACTACTACTGAGAGATAAGCGCATCTCTATGGAAGAAAGGCCCATTAGATTATACCTTGGAAATGCTTAAATGCTCAGATTGACTATAAAAATGTCTGATATCTTAATTGTGTTCAAACTGTGAGAAAAATACAATTAAAAAAGATGGAGCTTGTAACAGCAACTCCTTTCAACAGCCTTTCCAATCTTTTTTTAATTATTCATTTCAACTAAGAGAGAGAACAATTAATGCACCAGACTGGGAGTCTGGATACTTTCCTGATTGCTACAGTCTCTTCCTGACTATTATTATATGTGCTGTGATGACACCCCACCCCCCAAAACCACTACCAGGATTATGCTCGCTTTGAACAGACACATAGAAAGACATTATACCTGCTCTCAGACAAGTGTGTATAAAAAACAATAAGTGGGATAGAGGACAAAGGTAACAGTAATGAGAGCATGTGTTTACAGAGGCCCACCTATGTGTCTACCTTGAAAGTTCCAAATGACTTAAAATTGCTTATTGTCAAATATCAACAATCACCTCAAGTCCTCTTCCTAGCTATTGTCACTTGGCAGTTTCCTTTGGCACAGACTTCCGGTGTGTACATGGGTAAGTCTCTGTGCCTGATTCTCTATCTTTAAAATGAAAATGATACTTATTGTCCTCACTGGATTTTACAGTGCTTAACTCGTTAATGTATATAATGCACAATGAGATCCTTTGATGGCTGATACCATAGAAACCCAGCGTATTACTGTAACATTTATAAACCAAATGCCCTCATACCACTAGGTCTTTTGACTCTTCGTCAGATTGTTTTGAGCAAGGTTGACCAGTCCATTCATACCAAATCATCTGCTGACCCTGCAGATGAATATGCCAAGTACTGCATGGAGATTCTGGGAATTTCTGCAACCCCAGGTACGTAAAAGTAAAGTTTTCGTTCAGCATGTTGGCTGCTTCAGATGAGCATACAGTACCTTCACAATAGGTCTTATAGCAAATCAGGTGAATGTGGTTTAGAAAAGAAATCCAGTTTATGAAACTGAAGTAATTACTTTGAAATAAGACAAGAAAGGTCATTAATGTTATTCCATCAAAAATATCCATTTGCAGCTAGGATATATTCCAGATTGATACATTAATGTCCTTCTAAATCTGAAGCACTATTATACGTTAAAGCAGGTGTGGCCAACCTGAGTCTGAGAAGGAGCTAGAATTTACCAGTGTACATTGCCAAAGAGCCACAGTAATACGTCAGCTGCCCCATATCAGCTTCCCCCTGCCCCGCTCTCAGTGCCTCCCCCTCCCTCCCCGCACCTTCCAATCAGCTGTTTTGTGGCATGCAGGAGGCTCGGGAGGGGGAGGAGTGAGGGCATGGCAGTCTCAGGGAAGGGGGTAGGAAGGGGTGGAGCAGGGCCTGTGGCAGAGCTAGGGGTTGAGCAGTGAGCACCCCCTGGCACATTGGAAAGTTGCCACCTGTAGCTCCAGCCCCGGAGTCGGTGCCTATACAAGGAGCCGCATATTAACTTTGGAAGAGCTGCATGTGGCTCCGGAGCCACAGATTGGCCACCCCTGCGTTAAAGGGATGATTACATTTGATTTCAACATTAATAATTTGTTAATGTTTCTGTCTTCTTCAAGAGCTTGTTCATATCCATTCCATGTTAGGTGTGTGCACGCCATGTGCACTGATGCCAGAAATTTTTCCCTTAGTGGTATCTGTCGGGACAGCTCTTGTGCCCTCTGGAGCTGCGTGCTCATGTGCCGGTATAAGGAGCATGCCAGCCTCGCGCCCTCTCAGTTCCTTCTTACCGCCCATGACAGTTACTTGAATGACCCTTCTTGCTTTGGCAAGGTTTCTTCCCAGTGGTTTTTGAACTCTAACTCTTTGTACTTAGTTGTCATCGTTTAGTGTATATAGTTTTTGTAATTAGTATTAGTGTACATAGTGTAAATAGTTCCTGTTGTTGAGGGACTCCTTCGCCCCAGTCTTCAAACTTGTGCCTCCTGTGGCAAACCTATGCCCGTGAGTGACTCGCCCTCCAGCTGCTTGAAGTGCTTGGGGGAAACTCACGTGGATGAGTATCAGATCTTTTAGGACTTCAGACCCCGCACTAAAAAGGACAGAGACATTAGGCTGAAAGCTAGCCTCATGGAAGCCACCCTCAGAGCCGCACCGCTCTGATTCAGTGCCGAGCACTTAGGCATCAGTGTGAAGTGCTCCTCCAGCACCAAGCTCTTCCTGGCACTGTTCACTATCTCTGGTGCCAAGGAAGAAGTACAAAAAGCAGCAACCAACAGAGGGCGATTGCCAGTGCACAAGAAAGACAAGTGTGGGGAAGGCAGCACAGTGAGATCTATGCCAGGCCATTCTTCCACTCCTCTCACACAATGTCACCGTTGATTCTGCCTAGAATGTTGACTCTGGTGCAGGACCCTCCTACGACACCTGGAAGCCACTGTGGCACCAGCAGTCTGACTGTTCTGTTGATCCCAGAAGCTTTCCAAGTGGCAAGGGACCTACTTTCTCTCCCGGTCCCCTCAACTCCATTGGGACACCTTCCAGCTCTGATATCCAGAAGCAGGAAGGAACAAGGAGCTCCGTCTTGGCACCCTCTAGTGGCAAGCCAACCCTGATCCCAGCGTCCCAACCATCTATGGTCCGTTGCTGGTCCCTGGACCCTTGGCACCACATGGTGGCAGAATCAGGTACTGCTCCAAGAGAGAATTCCTCTTCTTAGTTCCAAGGGAAACCGTATGTGCAACCTAAGGTTCAACACTGGTACTCAGCCTATGTGCCACTGGACTTCGGTACCAGTCCCCCTGTTGGCACCTGGCCAGTAAGTCACTGACGAATGTAGTGGCCTTACTGGAACCCCTGGGAGATTCCCTCCCAGCACCGGGTCCTCGCTCCCATAGTTTCTACTCGGTGGTTTCCGAGAGGTGGGCTGCTGGCACTGGCCCCCAACTGACCCTTGTAACAATGTTCAGGAGATGACTCTGGTGGACGTCATTGAGGCTAAAGAAGAAGAGGGATCCCCTCCTCTGGTGCAAGCCTCCTCCTCCTCTCCAGACGAGGCTGTTGCAGGACCCTTCCGCATGATGATTTCCATCAGGACCTCCTGAAGCGGGCAGCAGCAAACCTGGGTCTGGAAATTGAGGACATTAAAGAGACATCACACAGCCTTATTGATATCTTGGCTGAAGCAGCTCCCTCCAAGGTGGCCTTACCCATCAATGAGACTGTGATAGGACCGGTCAAGGTCCTGTGGCAAACTCCTCCTCCTTTGCCCCTCATCTCAAAGAGGGCAGAGAAGAAGTATTATGTGCCAGCGAGTGGATTCAAATACTTGTATTCGCACCCTCCTCTAGGGTGCCTGGTTATGTCTGGAGCAAACAAGAGGGACAGGCAGGGCCAGTCGAGCACTACCCGTAAACAAAAGGATGCCAAAAAACTGGACTTTTTCAGAAAGGTTTATTCAAAGGGTAGCCTTCAACTATGTATCTCTAACCAGCGAGTTTTGCTGGAGAGATACGATTTATAATCCATGGTACTCCCTGGCTAAATTTAAAAACTCTCTCTGCCCCAAAATTCAAGGCAGGAGTTCACTGCCCTCTTGGAAGAGGGTAAGATGTGGCCAGGACCTCTCTCCAGGTGGCTCTGGATGCAGCCAACTCGGCCGCCAGGACAAAGGCCTCCGCTGTCACCATGAGGTGGTGTTCTTGGCTCCAATTCTTGGGGCTTCCTCACAATGTCCAACAGTCCATCCAGGACTTCCCCTTCAAGACTTCACAGCCGGAAGGACTCAAGGGCCACCCTACACTCTTTAGGCCTTTATGCTCCATTGGCTTCCAGGAAGCACTTCAGGCCCCAGCAGCCTCCACGTTTCTTGGTGCCTCCAAGACAAGAGCCCTACAAAAGAAAAGGGAGAGGTTAAGTGGTGCCAACCACTTCTATCCACCTCAACCTCCCAGCTGGGGTCTCAGAGGTACTCAAGGGCCTTTTGAAGGTGCACCTGAGGGCATTATTACCAGTCACTGCTTCAGATCCATCTCCCCTTTTTATTTTTGGACCGTCTGTCCCATTTCAGCCCAGCATGGTCATAGATAACATCGGACTGTTCAATTCTAAGTACAGTGACAGTCAGTTATACCCTTCAATTTTATCCGCCCCTCCCTCCCACCTCTCTTCAGGGACCCTTCTCACAAGCAACTGCTTGTCCAGGAGGTGTAATCTCTCCTACGAATGGGGGCTGTGGAGGAGGTTCCGCAAGACTAGGGAGGAAAGGGGTTTTACTCATGATATTTCCTAATTCCAAATGCGGCTTCCAGACTGTTCTGGACCTGTCTCGCCTACTCAGATATCTCAAGAAACTGATGTTCTGCGTGATCTCCTTAGCCGAGACTGGTACGCTACCCTTGACTTAAAGGACGCATACTTTCACATTTCTATCTTCCATGGCCACAGAAGATTTCTCAGGTTTGTTGTGGGTCAGTGCCACTACCAATTCACCACTCTTCCCTTCGGCCTATCGGCAGCCCCTGGTTTTCACAAAGTGTATGATGGTAATATCAGCCTTCTTCAGATGGCGAGGCATCTAGGTCTACTCATATTTCCAACAACTGGCTGATCAAAGGTTGGTCACAGACTCAAGTTCAGATGAGCATCAGCGTGGTCCAAGCCACCTCCTGAACACTGGGCTTGCTGCTAAACGAACAGAAGTCAACTCTTGTCCTGGCTCAGAGTATAGAATTTATTGGAGTGATGCTCAACTTGACCCAAGCCAGGGCCTTCCTACCAAAGGCCTGATTCCGGACTATGTTGGACCTGATATCCAATATCATGGTCCACCCAATTACGACAAGTCAGGTTTGCCTCAAGCTACTGGGGCACGTGACGGCATGTACTTACATGGTTCAACACACAAGACTGTGCCTTAGGTCCCTCCAGATGTGGCTAGCATCAGTGTTCCTTGCATAGGTCCCAATCCAGGACATCTGTATAGGGGCGCAACCTGATCATCAGTACATACCTTTTTGCATCTTGCTACACCATCACAACAACAGGCCAGGGACAATGCCAGTTTCGGGAGAGTGGTGTTCCTGATGGTCTGCTTGTTAGTCACCTAACATGGAATGGACATGAGCAAGCAATCAAAGAAAAAACAGTTACTAACTTTTCCATAACTGTTGTTCTTTGAGATGTGTTGCTCATGTCCATTCCACAACCTACTTTCCTACCCCTCTGTCGGAGTTAACGGTAAGAAGGAGCCAAGAGGGTGCGTGGCTGGCTGCGCTGCGCCCCTTATACTGCCGCATGAGCATGCAGCTCCAGAGGGCACTAGAGCCAGCCTGAGGATACCACTAAGGGAAAAATCTCCAGCAACAGTGCTTGTAGCATGCGCACACCTATCATGTAATCGACATGAGCAACATCTCAAAGAACAACAGTTATGGAAAAGTTAGTAACCATTTTTTATCTGCTTTTTAAGGGACAAACATGCCGGCTACTTTTGGACATTTGGCAGGTGGCTATGATGGCCAATACTATGGATATCTGTGGAGTGAAGTTTTTTCCATGGATATTTTTTATAGCTGCTTTAAAAAAGAAGGAATAATGAATCCAAAGGTAAGATAGGAACTAGCTTTTTAGCATATACCATTACTGAATTTTTTAAACTTCAGAATTAGCTATTGTACAAGCTCCAAAACTAGATTTATTATAATTAGCAAATCAGTAGGTTTTAACATTTTAGGCCTTTCTTATTGTCTGTATCAAATCCACTATATCAATAAAAAAGTTGATAAATGGTTTAATTTCATAGTAGAAAATCTGTATTTTAAGGGCATTTGTGTTTTACACAATTCTTGGCTATAAAGTTAAATATTTAAAACTTGTATAAGATATGACTCCTATGGTTTGTTAGGAGATGATTTCCACTTTCCCTTTTATTTTACACTGTACAGTATGGGAGAGCACACTGTCTCATGATAAAAGATTATGCATGTTCTGCTGCTGTAAAAGTTGTATGACACCAGTGACCTCTCTCCATTAATAGCAACTCACCTATGTGTTTTGTTATGCAATTACCATTCAGAGTATGGAAATCTAAATCTATTCTGGGCCTCCCCTTTTGCAGCACAGTATAACTTACTACTCTGTCAGATCAGTTGAAGTATTTTGTGTTTTGGTTTCTTTGTTTGGTTTTGGCAGGTTAAAAAATACATTCCCTCAAAAGGGAATCTTTATTTATTGGTTCATTCTAGAGCTGCTACTTTACTCCTTTGTAGGCCTTGACCACTTCTCTTCACAGCACAAAGGAAGGAAGGATGGCTGTTCTAGTGGTTAAGGTGCTAGCCTGGGACTTGAGAGACCTATATGTAATGTTCTGACACAGACTTCCTCTGTGACCTTGGGCTAAATCCATAAAGGGGTTATACACAAAGTGGACAACTGCCATTTATATGCCTAAATTCAAAATTTAGATCCTCAGAATCCTTGTTCAGCTGCTGCCTAATCCTGCAGGTGCCTAAATTGCTACTGTTAAAGCACCCTAGGTGCCTACATTTCTGTCGCTGTGTATACACCCATCTCATGCCTAAGGCCCAGTGGGTCCTCAGACTAATCATTCCCTGCCTCTCTCACTGTGGGGCCCGATCTGGTAGGTGTACTTCAAGCATGCCTACTGGATTAAGCCTCACAAAAAATGGAGGAGGACATGGTTGTGGTGGTGCAAACCTCCCTTATATAACCTTTAACCTAATAGTTAGAGCACTCACCCAGGGTGTGGAAGGCCCAGATTCAAATCCTTCCCCTCTGCTTGATGGGGACAGGGATTTGAACCCAGGGCTTCCACTTCTCAGGTGAATCCTCTGCCCACTGGGCTCTGAGGTGGATCTCGATCTCTCCTGGTGAAGCTCTTCCATTTTTTACATATAAATATTCAGCAGGCCAGAGAGAGAGAGAGGGAGAGAGAGTGAGAATGGTTCTATAGCCCAGTGGTTAGGGCACTAACATGAGATGTGGGAGATTCAAGTCCCTGTTCCACTGAGCTAAAGTTATAAGGGTGTTACCCCCCATCCCCTTTTTTACAAGAAAGGGTTTCAGTGCCTAACTCCATGAGAGTAGGGTTACCATACGTCCGGATTTTCCCGGACATGTCCGGGAAAATC